CATTCAGTTGGGGGTAGATTGTCTTCCCTGATAACTACAAGATCACCTGTTTTCATATTCTCCTTGGGGTGCTTCCATTTAATTCGCTTTTGTAGTTCGGCTAAGTACTCCACTTTCCATCGCCTGCAAAACGTCTGATGCAGTGCTTTTAGTTTTTGCCATCGATTGACAATGGAGGCAGGGTTCTCATTCACATCAGGTTCTGGCGGAGCCATAAGATGTCCACCCGTGAGAAAATGGTCGGGAGTAAGCGGCTCCAGGTCATTTGGCTCATTTGAAGAGGGACTCAGTGGTCGCGAATTGAGGCACGCCTCAATCCGGCACAAAAGCATACTGAGCTCTTCAAAGGTGTATTTTTGAGCGGATTCCACCTTTTTGAAGTGGCTTTTAAAGCTTTTTACACCTGCTTCCCACAGTCATCCCATATGAGGGGCTGCAGCGGGTATAAAATGCCACGTAAGTATTTGGTGGTTATATTTTGAAATCGTTTTGTCTCGCGCGTCAGACAAAAAGGTTTTGAATTCAGATCGTAAAGATCGCGAAGCGCCGACAAAATTTGTACCATTGTCGGAATAGACATTTTTCGGGCATCCTCTTCTAGCCACGAACCAAGCGAATGCTGCTAGAAAGCATGATAAAAACATAGCAAGGTAGAACCGTTCTCTCAATTTGTCGGCCATGATTTTTTTTTGAAGTTTGCCAACATTTTAAAATCATATAAAAGTGAAAATAAAAAATTGAAATTGTTCGAAATTGTTGTTGCTTGAGATTGAAAATGAAAATGTGTGTGTGAGTTTGTGAGTAAATTTAAAAATTAAATTGTTTGGAAACGTCAAGAATTTTAAAAGTGACTCTCAGCGGTTCTACCTTACTATATTTTTATCATGCTAGAAAGGATGGGGTGCTAAGATCACTGGTAGCTTCTAAGTGAATCGCTTTAGTAGTGAAACAAACGAAGAGGCAAACATACCCTTTGGAAATGCGGCAACCTCTACCGCGGTAACTTTTAATTTCAAAAGGTCCGGTAAAGTCTACTCCGGTATTCGTGAACGCGCGCGCAAATGTTGTGCGTTCCTGAGGAAGAGTTCCCATAATTTGCGTCTGAGATCGTTTTTTGTAGATGGTACAAATTTTACAATTGTGGATGGTAGACCTAATCATATTTTTTACTCTGGGAATCCAGTACTGGGTACGGATGAGGCGAAGGATGAGTTGATTTTCTCCGTGCAAGGAGACTTGGTGGATCAACAGGACGATAAGACGAGACAATCTGCAATTATACGGGATAATGATTGGGTGGCGCTCATTATATGCTAAGTCCTGGGATGCTCCGAGGCGACCTCCAGCCCTGATGATGTCGTGCTTGTCGACGAACGGATTAAGCGGAAGGATTTCACTCTTTGCATCGATGGATTTTCTAGTTTTTAAATTCCTGTATTCTTCACCGTAGTGTTTCTTCTGGTCGATTTTTATCAAGAGATGTGTCGTCGTCTTAATTTCATCTGATGAAATTAACCAATAAGTTTCCTGAAATGAAGCTTTTGTTTTCGGGTGAGTTCTTCGGTAGAATCTCATGACATATGATAACACTCTCAAAGCTCTCGGTAGATCTGAAAATCGGTCAAGAATATCGATATTGTTTTCTTTTGTTGATGTATAAGCGTGCGCTCTTTTTTCTTCAACTTCTGTGTGATAGGTAATTTATTGAGCGGGCCACTTAGAGTTGTCTTCTTGCAACCAAGAAGGTCCCTGCCACCACAAAAAATTGGTCACCAACTCTGACGCAGGCAATCCTCTGCTAGCCAAGTCGGCTGGATTAGAAGCCGAGTCTACATGTAACCAGTCCTTGTTACCGACCTTTTCTACTATTTTCTTAATTCGGTGTGCGACGAAAGTTGACCAAGAACAAGGCGGCTTTCGTATCCATGCGAGTACGATGGTCGAATCTGTCCAAAGATATGTTTTAACTTGCCCTAGGTTGAGGTTGTTGATTACGGATTCTATGATTTCCGCAAGCAGTACGGCTCCACAAAGCTCTAGTCGTGGTAGCGATATTGTTTTGACAGGAGCTACTTTGGTTTTTGCCAAAAGAAGGTTGACCAAAACTTTGTCATCTCTTTTGACGCGCATGTATGCAGTAGCCGCATATGCTTTTTCCGATGCGTCGCAGAAACCATGTATCTCGATGTCATCTCCTGGTGCGAAGTGTACCCATCGAGGTATTCTAATATTGTCTATTTCATGGTAATGTTTGATAAAATTCTGCCAGCGTTCCAAAGTTATAGAAGACACAGTCTCATCCCAGTCTGTGCCTTCTAGCCAAATACTTTGCATGAGTATTTTGGTCACGACGACTATTGGAGCAAGCCATCCTAGAGGATCAAATAGCTTGGCGATAGCTGATAGTATCGCCCTTTTTGTAAGTGTATCGCGGTCCTCCAATGGTCTTGCCATGAAATAGAAAAGATCCGTATGGGCATTCCATCTTATGCCAAGAGCCTGGTGAGGCAAATAGTAGTTATCGGAAGAGTCTGCTGAAATACTATCATTTATTCTGGACATGTGTCCTAGTGATTCATATTCAGCTAGTACCCTATTATACTCTTTTTGTAGGATGGTATTCTTTGCAAGCCGTGTTTCATTCCGGAAGAACTGAGAGCATGCTTTTTTAAGAGAAGGGCCTAGGCAGATGTTTGCGGGAAATTCCTGCCGAAATGGTAGCGAGACTACGTATTTTCCGTCTTCTCGTCTACGAGTTGTCTTCCGATAAAGCTCATCACAGTATTTGTCGTCTTCGTTCAAGCTTTTGGTTTTTGATATGTCTTCTAGTTCCCAGAATGCAGTAAGTTGTTTGTCCAAGGCAACTTCACTGTGATACGAAACTATATTGTTGGTTGGATTGGGTGCATCTGTGCAACCGGTTAATATCCAACCGAACACGGTTTCTTGGGCGAGAAGTGTACTGAGTACATTTTTCTTCAGGCCGCATAAAATAATTTGGGGATAAATATCTCCGCCAAGTACGAGGTCTACTTCTTTATTAACGTAGAACCGTTTATCAGCTAGAACAAGACCTGGAAATGCCTGCATAGTCATGGCGCTGATATGACAGGATGGTAGATTTCCAGTGAGTTTTGTTAGGACGAGCACCGTTGCGTGCAGGCTGAACAATGGATCAACTGGGGATCGAAGTTCTATGCTGCATGCCTCTTTAACCTGCGCAGAGGTTGCATTCGTAATGCCCGAGACTTGGGCATGCATTCTCTTAGCTGGCAGGTTGATTCTGCGTTTGACTCGTTCTGTTATGAACGAACACTCAGAACCAGAATCAATAAGTGCTCGAGCAGAAAAATCTGTGCCATTGAGACGTATACTTACGCAAGCTGTTCCTAGGAGCACACCTGAATTCGTGTTAGCATAACAAGACTTAACGTTTTTGCTTTTATTGTTATGAGTTCTATTATTAAAGTTGCGCTTTGCTTGAGCCTGTTGGGAGGATGATTCATTGTAATTGACAGGTCCAGCCGGCGTGCGAGCCGGTGTTGCCTTTTGCACATTTGTCTGAATGTGCAGGAGCGAGTGATGTCGCGAGTGGCAAGTGCTGCAATTAAAGGGGCT